GAGGAGAGGGATGCAGTTTTGGCAGTGTGCAGTTCCTCTGTGACAGCAATGAGAGCAGTTTCTGTGGAGTGACCTGCCTTGAAACCAGACTGGTGCGGATCCAGAAGGTTGTTCTGATTGAGATAACAGGAGAGTTGTTTAAAGACAACGTGTTCAAGTGATTTAGACAGGAACGGGAGGAGAGAGACAGGCCTGTAGTTTATAACATCAGACGGGTTGAGAGTGGGTTTCTTTAGGAGAGGGTTTACTCTTGCCTCCTTGAGACTGTTTGGAAAGTGACCAGAAGTTAGAGAAGTGTTGATGAAATGGGTGAGAAACGGTAGAATATCAGGAGCGATAGTCTGAAGGGAGGTTTGAAGGGATAGGGTCCAGAGGACAGGTGGTAGGGCGGGCAGAAGTAATGAGGGTAAGAACCTCACTTGGAGAGAGAGGGGAAAAGGAGGTTAGTGTGTTGGTGGAAGGAAGGTCTGGTGACCCAGCGGTGAGTATAGGTGAGTCAGAAAAAGAAGAGCGAATATCATCAACCTTTTTTTCAAAGTGGGTAACAAAGTCGCTTGACAGAAGTGAGGAGGGGGGGAGGGCTTTTGGAGGGTCCAAGAGGGTGGAGAAGATGGAAAATAGTTTTTTAGGATTGGAATAGGAAGATTGGATCTTATCTTGAAAGAAAGTGCTTTTTGCCTGAGAGATCGAAGCAGAGAAAGAGGAGAGGAGAGCCTGATAGGTTAGGAGGTCGTCACGTTGTTTGGATTTCCACCGTTTCCGCTCTGCTGCCCTAAGGACGGTTCTATTAGCACGCAGTGCATCATTTAGCCAGGGAGCAGGAGGGGACTGACGAGCCTGCCGAGATGTGAGAGGACAGAGAGAGTCCAGAGAGGATGAGAGAGTAGAGAGGAGAGTTTCTGCAGCAGAGTTTGGTGGCAGGAGTTGGAACGAGTCAGAGGAAGGGAGGGCTGAGAGCACCGACGAGGCAAAGGTAGAGGGGGAGAGGGAGCGAAGGTTACGGCGGACAAGTGCAGGATGAGAAGAGATTAGTTTGTTATGTTTGGAAAGGGGTAGAGAGAATGAAATGAAGAAGTGATCGGATGTGTGGAGCGGGTTTACAGAGAGGTTAGAAGTAGCGCAGTTCCTTGAGAATATGAGATCAAGGACATTGCCAGCTTTATGAGTCGGTAGGGACGGAGACAGTGAGAAAGCAAAGGCGGTTAACAGAGATGTTAGTTGAAGAGTTTGTAAATTAACATGAACCGAAGCTGTTGCCTGGCAACGCAATCGCACAACATCATGTCCGTTAATTCCACATCCACACACATGGATTAACATCGATTTAATACATTAATGTAGCCTTTGTTTCTGCTAAAAGAGGTGTCGACCAGCTGGGGCAACAAGAAAATTGGCGTAATCGAGTGTGACTATTAAAAAAATAAATCATTATTAATTAATATTGACAATAACAACCAACCGTTGGGGGTAGCATTTGCTTGGCATTTCTGTGTATATCTCCACTGGTTGGGGCATGTTAACAATACCGTGTAACTGTCACGTTTGAAGGGACGAAATTGTGACATCTTCACGTCTCCCAGCATGGTAAATCGTCACATGTTCACGTCTAGCCGTGATACCGGGTTGTTTATAACACCAGTGCAGTCAAGGAGGGGGCAGATAGTGTGCTGGAGAGGCTGTGGATATGTGAGGGCCAATCACCATCATGTGTTTTGGTAATGCCCTGGGATTGTTCACTATTGGGACTCAATAAGAGATGGAATGGAAAGAGTTTTAAGCATTGAGATGTACCTTTTACTTTCAAGTACAGTACATGGGTAAGATGCCAAAACAGCTTCCTGGTTTCTCTAAAATGTACATGTTTAAAGTAATACTAGTCGCCAGTAAAAAAGCCATAACGAAAAAATTGTTAAGCCAAGTACCACCTACTCTAGCAGACTGGTTTAATGTGATGCACGACATTTTTGCTATGGAAAAATTAACATTTGCACGCTCATGAACTGTTCGCCCGTGCCTCGCAGCAGGGTTACTGTGCGGAGCACATAAATGATGCCGTCGTGGTTGCGGACGGATTAAAAAAATGAAACCTAATGGCTCGCGAATTATACTTTTGGCGGCCCGTTAATATACCTGGGCGGCCCGCCCAAGTAAAAGTCTATGTGTGGGAGAACCCTGCTATCTTACCAGTTATTATGCAACTCTCAAATATCTATCTATCTATCTCTCTCGCTCTCGCTCTCGCTCTCGCTCTCGCTCTCTCGCTCTCGCTCTCGCTCTCGCTCTCGCTCTCGCTCTCGCTCTCGCTCTCGCTCTCTCTCTCTCTCTCTGTTGGTGCATCTTTTTTCAAATGATCCGGTGCTCCTTTTTTGGCGGGGGTGGCGCATGCGCACCAGTTATCTGCAGCCCTGTCTATAACTGTTAATTTGTTTATGTAAATAAAGAAACAAAGAAAATGTTCTACCACAACTAACTTACACAATTAACAATTAACTGAATACGTGTGTCAAATAACCTGCTGAGGCAAAAGCAGATTTGGTATTCTGGATCCTACTCTCTAGTTGTGCTTCTCTTAAAATATGTACTAACAACAAACAACTATAAATGTCTTTTCTAGCAACAGCAGATGTGATAGAATATTAAAGGCCATGTTTGCATTACAAACAGTACTAATAACTCCATCTTCAAATACCTCTTGCTACCCTGATGGTCCCATACGCTCATCATGTGCTTCATATCAGATAGAGTGACAGTATCTGGTCTATAATTGACCTGACATTGTCATAACATATTACAGTGTTTGCCCCCCTCCTCTGTACTCTGTCATTAGAAAATAACTCCAGGCACGGGGTGCAGAAGCCTAAAATATCTGTATGCCATCCCTTAGGGCTTACACAGCACCTGTCACCGGGGTTACTTGTGGGTGGGTGGGGGGGGGGACACAGTTGCTCAGAGTAAACATGGACATGATGATTCAGTTCTTCAGATCATTGTTTAAAGGACAGCTTTGGCAGTTTAGAGATTGAGGCTTTGTGGGAGAGCTTGCTGACACATTCAACCCACATTCATGCTCCATGCTCTGTCAGAACATATTTTTGGTCTTACACTAATGAATTTTCTTCCAGTTTCTCAATATCAACCTTGCTCTTAAAGGTGTCCTATCATGCAAAAAAGGGTCAGAAAACAGAACCCTCTCTTTTCCTCCGTAACCAAATCTCTAAAAACGGGGGTACAACGGAGCTGGTCCAGATTTGCGTCTGATATGACGTAATATCGGAAATGTGGGCTGGCTTTACACCCATGGTCCTATCAGAAACATCGCTATCAGAAGCAATGCCTGACATGTTTTGGACGTAATATGGTCTTTGTTTACATTAGCAAGCATCGCTAACACTCAGAGCTAACACTGTACTGGAGAGAGTATGTGGTAAACCCGGAAGAGAAAAAGCATTTGAGCTCCATACTGTTTCAGAAAGTATCTCGGTAGAATTGTCCTTCATGAGCTCTCGTCTCGGCTCCATTTTTTTTTTTTTTAAAGCTACGGACCCAGAATCAGCACTTCTCTAACAGGGCTGAAATAAAGGGGTATGAGGCATGGCTAGAATGGGTGATCTGTTTGGTATTTTGAGCAAAACACTTCATAGACATGTTTTTTTGTATATCTGAGACCTATAATATACACCTACAAATAGTATAATAGGAGACCTTTAATATATTACACACACACACTCAACTGTAGGTTTTAGTCTAACAGTTACACAAGTTTCCCCTCGGTTAAACCCTTATAAGCAGAGATTGTGTTTAGAAACCTCCTCGTGGGGAAAATGGTCAGACTGATACATGAGTGTCATGCAATACTGTCTAACAGTGTTTTTTAATTGCCAAAAATTCTAAATTTGATTTGATTATTTTAAGTAGGTCCATGTTTGGTTCTTTGTTAGTCTCACACAGTGTCACTATACATGGTCGGCCTGGCCTGACGTCATAAGCACTGAGCTAATCATTGGGTTTATGTAATTCAGGTTAAATTAAAATTACAAGAAGCTACACACCACAACACTTTAGGAATGATGGTTTATCTGTCCGCTTTCTCTCACTCTGGCTTCTGCCTATTGATTAGCTCATAGGACCCACCTTCTTTAAATTGGTAATCAATATATGACAAATTACCACCTGTGAGCTTGACATTGGGATTATATTTGTTATATAATTGATAGCAGCCGTCTATCAATGGAATGAGAACATCCTTGAATGTACCTTTGATGAAAGTTTACAGTTTATAATCCTGCTTACACCTGCCACACCATTCAGGCAAACATTTCTTGTTTACAAATTAACAAGTGATTATCTAAGGGGCTATGAAAATGTATGGCATTTTTAAAACTGGTTACAGTAATGTAAAATACAATTTATAGATAAAAGGCAGAAACATGCTCTTTGATGACCTTTACATTTACATTAAGAAACACAGGCAACAATAGCTGTTAGGGAAATATATTAAATAAGTAAGAAGTGTAGGCCTACTATAAAAGTCAGTTTAAGAGAGTTGTCCTGATTTGAATTTAAAAACATAAAAAAAACACAAAGCTTCATACAGTATCTTATAGTCATGCACAAACAACAATTGCACATACAGTAATATTTGTGACAGTATGAGGAGCAAGATACTTCCTTCAGATAATTCTATTAGTGGCTATGTCAATTATTGTACTGTAAGGTTTCCCACTGATGCAAACTGATGTATGCATTCGAGTGTGAAACTGCACAGACCAAAACAAAGGTCTGAATTATTCTCATTCCTCTCCCAGACTATGTTGTCTGTTTAATTTAGATTTTCTTTGAATTATATTTCCCAATCGCATGAATATTTAATAGATTCTTAATGCATCCTCAGACCAATTAAATTGAAGTTTATGTTATCGAAACTGTGTTATTTTTCCTTTCTTCTTACGTACCATGTGTTTATTTGTTGTGTATCAATATCGTTTTTGTTCCCCTCCCAGGTCCGCAGTGTGAGTTCAGTGGTAAACCGGCACAGAGAGCACCGGGTGTTGGTGATGGTCGTCACCATGGTGGTGTGCTACCTGGTATGCTGGCTGCCTTATGGAGTGGCAGCCCTGCTCTCAACTTTCGGCCCCCGTGATCTTTTGACCCCACAGGCGAGCATCACGCCGTCGCTGCTGGCCAAGTTCTCCACCGTCGTAAACCCTTTTATCTATATATTCATGAACAAACAGGTGAGATTTCTTTCTCTTTCTCAGTTCATTCGTCATAATGCAGGCTTTTTCATGCATTGCCATCTTGTTTATTGTAAAAAAAAGTGTCTGTTAAATGTATTTCAAAATGTTATTTTTCTGCTAAGAGTTGGAAATATAATGTTAATTAGGATTTAGGCATCATGTTTAGCCAAAGTCTGTCGGGATGTTTTTTTTAATGGTTAAAATCGCTTGCATTCTGAGCAACTCAATCACTTTTTACATGATTGATTTTAGTGGAATTGTAACTTATGGCAAACTTTTAGTGTTCTTTCAATTTATTTTATTGTAGATAGGGAGGTTAAAGTAAAGTGTTTTGGTGGTAAATTGTTACCCTAAACTAAACAGATGTGGTCAGTTTCAGCAATCTATTTATCTGCTCTACTATTCCTGAAAAATAAAATACAGAGGTTAGTTAAAGGAGATTGACAGCCATGGGAGGGTTAGTGAAGGCACATGCAGACCTCCTTCCTCCATCTGCTGGCTCCTCATTGACATCTTCAGACTAAACACATCCAGCTGTGAACATACAGGAAGCAAACCGCTAAAAGGCATAAACACACACACACATGCACACACCACACACACACACACACACACACACACACACACACACACACACCACACACTCACACACACACCCACACACACAACACACACACACACCCACACACACACACCACACACACCACACACCACACACACACACACCACACACACACACACACACACACACACACACACACACACACACCATTAAAATATGTCAAGCCACCGCTTCTGCCCACTGTGTGTGAGCTTGTGATACATTTCACTGACATACAAGCACACAGCACAGTAATTAAAGGAGGAAGAGGAAGTAATCTGGTTTATGCCACTGGCTGTCCTAATTGGCAGCAGATAACATTTCAAGGGTCTTTGTAGCAGCATTTCACCTTCAAAAAAAATCATTACCACAGTCATTAGTAGATTGGTCTGAGCATTAAAGGTCAACTCATGCGTGTCTACACACTGCTTGGGACATTTTGACAAGATTTTCTTTAATACCTCTGTAAATAATGTAATAACTCAGGTGACCTGAGTACTGTAAGTATTGAGTTATTTTGTTATTTCTCACTCCGATTGTACAGTCCTTCTTGCAGCTATTCAAATGTATGACTGTAACTTAACCAAGTCATTTTTTTGTGGGGTTCTTTTAATACACAATGTTAACCAGGTATTTCAAACCGCTAATGTAATCTAGGATAACATTTTTCTTCAAAAGTAATGAGAATGATTTTTTTTCCTTTTTTCATTCATCTAATGTCTTTTTGGCACAAATTACACGATAATGCAGCATGACAGAACTGACATCAATGAAGGATAATACGTGGGTAGAAAAAAGGGAGGAACAAAGAGAAGAAGAATCAATAAATGTTGGGAAAAAAAAGAGAAAAAAGGGAGGAAATAGTGAGAAAGGGGAAGACACAATTGAAGAGTAAATGAAAGAAGAGATAGCAGGATTGAAGATGAAGAAATTGTTTGGATGGGTAATCTACAGTAAGTAGTTGTTGAGGGAAGACAGAAAACAAGAAAGGACGGTATTTATTTAAAAAAAGGGAGATAATGGGGGAGAAGATGGATAGACAGAAAAAGCAATGAAAAAAAGATAAATGGAGATAAAGAGGAAGACATTAAGTAATGAGAAGATAGAAAGTAAGGATAAAGCAGTGACACATTTCAGAAAGACCATAAGAAACAGTGAAGGAAAGGGTAAAGGAAACGATGGAACTAAATGAAAAAGCTGATATAAAGAGTAACCACAGGTATTGAAAGAAAAAAGGTGACGAGCGGGATAAGGAAATCCATGTAATATAACCTTCTCTTAACAAAGCTTTGGATTAACATGTGATGTTAATATCAAGGAGCGACACTGCGCTGGTGACCTTTCCTTTTTCTCACACTCTTTTATCTGTCTGGCTCTTTTTATCTATACTTCCACCTCAGTCTGTCTCCTCTGTTGGACAGCATGTCTCCTGTCACTTTTGAGATTGGGAGACATTTACATTCTTTGATGTCACAACTGTCTGCTCTGTCTGGTCGTGAAGGTTTCTTTTTAGCTTTATGTGTGTGTGATGATAAAGCTACCGAACTGGACTTCCACGGCCACAGATAAACTCACAGGAAGACACACTGTGTGGCACTTTCAGTCTTCAGTTCCTCCCAGCCCATAACTATGGCAGAAGTGTGTTGAGGCGAGTTGAATACTTAAAGCGCTGCACAGATTAATTCCCCGGATCTGAGCTGTCAATCTTGGATTTACTCCTTTATTGGTTTTAGGTTTTTTCTGCATAAGGTTTTCACATCTTTGTGGTGTAAAGTCACTAAATACATTTACTTCCATACTGTTTACATTTGAAGATGCTTAATACTTCTATTCAACATTTCAGAGGGATATATTATACTAAATCCTCCATTACATCCATCCATGTATCTTGGCTGTAACGTTACAGATTAAGATGTATAACAACAACACATGCGATTCATTTATAAAATATGATTGTGTGCTTAAGAGTATACAATCGTTTGTTGTCAAAGTGTGGTCCATCACTACCAAGCAATAAACCCATAGAAGTAATATAATAATGTAACTCTCTGAATGGGACCATTCTGCTTTTAAGATATAGGAAGCGTAATAAAATGTACTATTAATGTGGATTTCTTTTCATTTTTTATGAAAATACCTTTTTATTTCAATATTTGGATACACCTGTTGTCTAAAACGTTTTTCACAATTGTGGTCAGAAACGTTTTGGTTTGCAACCCATTTAAATCAATCAATCCATTTTAATTTTTTTTAACAAAGTAATGACTTTTTACCTGTCCTCACTGGTTTAATTATAAGTTATCTTTATTTGTTTTCATAATAGGGACAAGGGAAAGGTTTTCATTAGAGGGAAAATTGTGCAATCGTTGTTTTTTCTATCAAGAACTTTGTGGTTATATATAATCTTATTTATAGAATTTCTGGTAGAATAAAGGCATATTACAGTCTACAGCAGTGTATTCAATGGTACATTTCTTCTTTTTTTCTTCCTGGAACATAGATCTACACAAATGAGACACTATTACCAGGCTAATCACAGCTCTCTGGAAAATAATACATTAGGATTTAAAACACATGAAGATTCTAAATGGAGTGCCAATTTTGAAAGCTGGATATTTTCCTCGGGGTGACAAAAATTAATTGGCTCGTATATCATGAAAGAGCTTAAGTATTTAAGTTAAACAGCACCACTGGTCTCATTTGTCATATCAATCTCTGGGTGGAAACATGCGAGGAAACTATTCATTCATATGTTGTAATGAGATGTAGTGAAGTGTCTCATGCGGCACACTAATTTGCATTGCGGCGCCCTGGGGAAATGTAGTTGACTTAAAGTATACGTGTGGAAGCAGAGAGTATACTAAGTACACTACGTTTATCCAGGGGAGCTTGATGCCTGCTCAACTCCCAACATGGAGGAAGGAAGAAGGATGTCAATAGAACTGTACTAATCATAAAGAGTTACATGTTCATTGTATTCATACTCGTTTTTGGCCATTACTTTGTCATCTGTTAATATTATTAATACTAAAACTACAGCTATATACTATTCCACCACTCATACTAACTAGACTAACCCTAGTCTACTACTGCTACTATACCTCAATTTCTAAGTCTTATGGTACTGTTTTACTCGTAGCTAAGGTCACTTACAAGGTCTTCTTGTACTTTAGGTCTACTTCTTCTACTGCCATTCATTATGTTGTCACAACTGTCTGCTCCCATTCATTGTTGTTATCCCTATTTATACCATGACTATATGACTACAGCTATACTAGGTGTACAACTTGTAATACTGCATCCCCTACTGATATTTGATTAGCGTTATTATGAAAGAAAGAAAAAATTGCATTAATTTACTTATGATTCATGTATTTTATATTATTATATTTTAACTACAAATGGTTACAAAAATCCTTTCACCTTGATTTGCTGCGACACCCCTCGTCCACCACCAACTATTAAGACCCAATCTTTGACTCCTGATGTGGATCTCATATTAACTGGTTTCTACCTCTGTGAATTTATCTAAACTGCAGGTTGAAAAAGCAGTTTACTGGTGCTGTCTTTCATCGTTCAATTTCTACTTTTACAAACATAATAACACATTATCGCTACAATTCTATTAGAGAAGTTGAGTAAGAGTAGAGTACAACGTTTTTACTAACAATAAAAATACTTTAGAATGGAAAAAATCAGGAATAAAAAAAAAATACACTGTCACACTATTGACGTATATACTCCTTTCCCACAAGTATTTTGTTCGATGTGGATATCAACGGAATTCTTTCAACCTCACAATAAACTTTATTTATTAATTTGTGATGATTTTTAAAATGACATTCTTCTTTTGATTTATTTATATGACACTATGATTTGCAAAAATAAATGAGTAAATCATGTGTACTTTTACTCAAAAAGATGATTAGGTATTAAAGTTAGGCTACTTATACTGTATATCCTACATGTGAGAGTGTCAATATAATTCAATATAGTTTCAACCCACATTTGGTTATAAACCTTTATGTGTAGACTACACATCTCATTTCATTTCAGTGTGAGAATATTTTGAGTTAGAGGTAATGTTGTTGTTGTTAGGTAAGAGAGTCAAAGGCAAGTAACACACATTGGTGGACAAGGACACAAAGAGGAAGAAAGAAGGCTTGTTTGAGACACATTGCGGCTCGCCTCGAAAGTAGACGAGAGTAGCCGATCGCAGCCGGGGGAGGTGTCAAAAAGCTCGTCTTAAGTCGGACAGCTCGGAGTCCATGCTCGGAGTCGGCTTCGTCTTCTTCTTCTTCTCTCGGTTTTTTGGCGGATTGCAAACAACTTTAAGGTGCATACCGCCACCTCCGGAGTCGGCTTGACTCGGTTTGCATTTATAAAGATGCACACATGTGTTTAATCGTTAATGTCAGATATGTACTAAGTAAATACATTTGTTCCTGCTCCAGATTAGATTCAACTTTATTGTTATTGCACATATTACAGGTACTGAGACAAAAAAAATGCAGTTTAGCTTCTAACCAGGTGCAACAAGCAGTAAAGTGAAAAGTAATGTACACAATCTACAGAATAAAATATAGAATGAATTGAATGATGAATAAACAGTGAGGGGTATGAATACACTAGATATCAGCCTGTGAGCAGTATGAACAGTGTGTATGAATATGCTAAGATATATAAAGTATGAAAACGGTAAGCAGTATAGTATAAAATATATAGATATTAATTTCATGATGATAAACATTGTGGAACAATGATGAAAAATGGGAATGGATGTGGCGACGTAAAACTGACACAAAACAACAACAAACTTTTGCCAGCCAATTGGAGAGTTTCATCAGCAGCACGTGGTAAAAACCACCAATGAGCGCTCAGCTCGAGATACCAGCGAGCCGTTTCCCATCAAGCATTTCGCTTCCGCAGCCCGTGGAGAGCAACTGCGCCAACTCGCCTCGCCTCGCTCTCAAGGCTGCGGGCGTCTTTGTCCCGCGAAATTTCAAAGTCTCATGTGGGCGGGCCTCCAGAGCAAGTCGGACAAAATGACTAACCATCATGCAACGCACTAGCAAGACGTTGATCGAAATTGCGCAGGTCTGCGCAGGTCTCGCTTGTCTCAAACAAGCCTAGAAACTCCCTTAAGACAGCAACACCGCCACACAGATAATAGACAGGGTTTAATATTTTATACTTTATTTTGAAACAAAAACATTAAGGAACAGCTTGGATGCAGGCTATTTGTTTTCCTTATGATATTCAAGAGCTCTTCAAAGTATAGTAGGAGCGGGGGGGTTAAAACCACTTAATTGGGATATACACCTAATCTCATAGGACCAAAGACCATATAAGATAATATATTTATCCCAAAAGACTACAAGAAGCCCAATCAGTAGTTGGTGTGACTTAAATCATAATGTAACAATATATATGCATTATTGAGGAGTTACAAATGTGAAATGTAATAAACAAATTGCTTCCTCCTAAACCTAACACTAATCCTTGACTATTAATGAAAGTTTTATTTTCATTTGATTTCATGAAATCCGGGTTGTCCTTACTTCAGACTTATTGGAACAAACATTATGCATTTTTCTTCATTATACTCAATATAGTTTTTGACCACAATTGAATGACACTAATCCAATGTGTATGTTTCCAGTTCTACAGATGTTTCAGGGGCTTCCTTGGATGCTCTACACCTGAAAGAGGCTCCACCTTAAAGACATGTTTACGGCCAGCCAGGACGCTTCGCACCGGCCGCGAGCAGAAGGAACTCAATGTGACGGATCCTGCCCTGTCCACCATCAACCCCACACCCAACTCCATCCAAAATGTATCTCAGAGAGCTAATTATGTGCCTCCGTGTTCATCGAATCATCACTCCGCTGCTTCACACTCCCCTGCTGCTAACACCCCCAAACCCAAACTGATTCTGGTGGCTCACTACAGGGCATAGAAAAGGGGAAATGAGAATGGGAATTGAAGGTGATGAAAAGGTCACAGGTCTCAAACCAACAATTATGCTGTCCTGATACAAGGATTTGACTAGGATTTTAAAAAATAAAAAATTAGGACGTTTTTAATCCCAGAAAAGGTTATATTGTTCTGTGAAGTCAGCAAACAGAGATACACACAACATGCCAGTTTAATCCTGTTTACAAGAGGCAATGTACGCACAGGGCTAAGCGTATGCTTCATGTTAAGATTACCCATTATTAAATCCACATAAATAGGTTAAGCATTTTGGCTGTATTAATTACATATAACATTTACGTTAATTAATAATGTTCTTTTTTGATCGGAGAAATTAATCAGAAATAATTTGAAGAAGCAAAGTGTTCTTTGGGGGAGATTTCATAAATCTTTTGGTGTTTTTTTTTAAACGAGGTGTTGCTCTACTCTAAGCAGGATTATTTTTTTCAAATCATTTTTCCCATTTGTAATATTTAAGGATTTCATACAGTGTACAGTATTAAAGATCTGTTGAACAAAAGTATGCAATTAAGAACTGAGGAGTTGCCTTCATTTGCTATTTTGCTTTGATGCATATAGGCCTTCAGGACTGGGACTTTTATGAAAGCCATTAAAAGGGAAATGTTGCTATGTTATTAGTGAGATTGCACTGTTTTGAGTTGTCTTGATGTTTCTGAAGCTTCTGTTTTTCTTTGTTTAGTAGAAAAGTTGTTCTTTGTTGTCAACCAATGTATTTTATTTGCTTATGTAACATAAATGAAATCTGTTCACTTACATATTTGACTCTCTGAATCTTATTCAGTTTATCTGTCATTCTGCATCCATGTGTTGATTAATCCATGAATTAGGCATTTTTTACATGATGGGAATCAGATTCTACATTAAAGCCTTCGTCTTGCTGAGAAACAAACAGAATAGGAGCCCTAGAGTAGAATATTACAACCAGTGTTGGGCAAGTTACTTCCAAAATATAATACAGTATATTACTTATTACTGTCTTTTTGAAGTAATAAGTTACATTACAATATTACTGTCTCTGAAATGTAATGAGTTGCACTACTTTTATATTACTTTTGAATTACTTTACCAAAATAACCGCAAAAGAATGGCTAGGTATTTTAAATGCTAAAATGTAGTTTAGTGCAGCTCTTTATACATCCAGTGAAGGGCAATGTGGTATAGCATAACTTAACAACTGTGCAGGCCATTAAGGCTACTAACAACTTTCACGGCTTAGTTGAATACTTGATTCTGATTGTAAATTCTTAACATGTGACCGTTACGACCCTGGGTCATTTGTGTGTACATTTTTCCCTCCTCGTGTGTGTGTGTGTGTGTGTGTGTGTGTGTGTGTGTGTGTGTGTGTGTGTGTGTGTGTGTGTGTGTGTGTGTGTGTGTGTGTGTGTGTGTGTGTGTGAGCAAGCAGGTAGTGCCCGTTAGCTGATTAGCTACCTTCTGCATGCTGATTGGTCCACCTGGGGAGACGGGAGGATATTAAGCTGCAGCCGTGCAGTTCCTCGGCCGCTCTCTCTGACTTGACTTCTCCTACTCGAGTCCCAACACAAATTTAAGTTACGATATCTGTCCTGTTGTGCTAATACTTATTTATACCGTATACCGTCCACTAGTGATGGCGAGATGAAGCCTTATGAAGCTTTGAAGCTTTCCAGCCAATTGGTTCGCAAAAGGGTTCATCTCATGAGGCTTCATCATGGGCTTCATTTGAACACAAACCCCCTGTTGGTCAAAGTGTGTAAAACAGGCAGATTGGACATCTCAACAGTGTGCTCTCTCATACCGAGTTCCCAATGAGTAAAGCCTTAGAATAACTCTAAACAACGAACATTAAATCATATTTTCACGTTAACAATATTGTTTTTATTCCAGTTGAATGATTGTGATTGAAAAGCCTAAGGAGGCTGGTAAACATTACAAATAGGGATTTGTATTCCTTAATAATATTCATAAACGTAACCATGTTGTAGCCTGAGAAAGGCTAAACCATATCAAAGAATACATTTATTAACTACATTATCTCATTTAGCTGTAGCTTTTATCATCAACAAAAAAGACATATTGACGAGTCGTTGAACCAGGAACCCTGCGATCGTGAGTCAACTGCTTTCCAGCTGAGCCACAGCACACGCTGAATCTCCCTGAAAATACTGTAACATATTTATTCCTGTATTTATTCATTCATGTTTGTTTTCCTACATTTATTTATGCTTGTATCTATTTATACTTATGACATGTTCCGACCTCTATATAGGTGAGGTTTTGAGCTCTTTTAATTCCATCGTGTCACCAGCGGGCCCGGGTACAGGAGGGGTAATATGGTTCTTATTATACATCCATGGGTATTATGAGCGTTGTGGTTCAACGGTTCAACCGATCTGAATCGCTTCGTGAAGCAGTCACGTGGTATCGACAGGCAGCGAGGCTTCGTTTGTCATCGATGACGTCACTGGCCCAAAACGATACAAGCCTCGATACATGCTTCACAAAAAGCTTCGGGGATTACTCGACACACGCTCCGAAGCCTCGGCGCAATACGTAACATCACTACCGTCCACTGTCAAGGACTATAATGAAGGTTACTAAAAAGAAAGAGAAAGAGAAAGGAAAGAGAAAGGAAAAGAGGTTAAAAGACGGAGCGCTGGACGTCAGATAAATAACCAGAAGAAGGCAGAGAGGAAGTAGCTCTGTAGTTTGTTTAGTATATGGCTGTGTAATAAGTGGGATAATGTGCAGCGAGGCGGTCATTATGGGGAAAAGAACACCAGGGAACCCGACACGAAGCGGAGGGATCTTGATGAGCCTGAAGGGTAAACCCCAGGTTTACTAATCTACCAGGACAATTTTTCTCTGGTGTCGGAATGTTTCGCGATGTTAGTGAATTCTTAAAAAACAAAACACCATTTAATTTCGGGTTAAAATGTGTTGTAACTGCTAGGGGTGTAACGGTTCACAAACATTTCGGTTCGGTACGTACCTCGGTTTTTTGGTCACGGTTCGGTTCGGTACGTTTTCGGTACAGCAGAATTTTTTTTTCACAAAACAAAACATATATATATATATTTTCTTTATTATTATTAAACTGTGAATAATGTATTCACTCAAATAAATACAAAATATAATAAAATAAACATTAAGGTGCAGCATTTCGAAGAACTGAAATAATCTGTATTTGAACTTTACTGTAGGCTACTAGTACTCACAAAACATAAACTATTAGTTTTGGGTTTTTAATTATTATTAAACTGTGAATATTCACTTAAATAAATACAAAATATAATAAAATAAAAATTAAGGTGCAGCTTTTCGATGAACTGAAATAATCTGTATTTGAACTGTACTGTACTAGTTCCTAAGCAGCCAGTTTGACATTAGGACTTGCTTGTCATTGTATTTTCATGTTTTTTTTAAAGAAAAATGAACTTGTCCACATTGCTTGCTGAAAGGGCAGATCTGCTGGCACTAACAATGTCTCCTCCTGTGGAGAACACCCTCTCTAGGGACAGAGGTAGCAGATACAGCCAGGTAGCGCTTTGCTAACATGGCAACATAAGGATATTTGGTGTTTGTAATAGCGTTGGCTCGGTCTGAACTCTCTGCGAGTGGTGGAGGCTTAAATGCTAGTGGGAGTTGGGTTTGCACTTCAGTCTTTTTTCTTTTGGTACCGGTGATATTCACGTTCGGGTGATGCCTTTTCAAGAGTGTGCAAGTTTGATGTATTGCCAGCCGCGGAACCAATGTTAGTTGAACAATGCCGACAAACAGCTTTGGTTCGGTCCACCTGTCTTTGTCCTTCATCCTTGTACGTAACTGCGAAACCAAAATGTTCCCAAACCGGAGACTTCAATGATGCTGGAGGATTTTCGAGCTCAACTTTATCTGCGTTCGCCATTAATTTTCGACAGTTCCTCAAATTACTGACTACATTTGAACGCATCCCTCTGACCAGCTCTCATAGTATGCCTCTCATCCAATGAAATGACTTGCTCGCTCTATGACGCGTTGAACCCAATGTGAGAAAATTACTCTGAATGCTGCGACGCAGCACCTGAGATTACTTCCAAAAAATTGTTCACGTTCTCAATTTTTTACGTTTAACGTTATATTCGTTCGGTACACTTCGGTACACACCTGTACCGAACCGAAGGGCCCGTACCGAATAATTTCGGTACGGGTACGTGTACCGTTACACCCCTAGTAACTGCGTTATTGAGAATTGTAACGGGTAGTATATTACCCAAATGTAACACTGTTACTTTTGTAACGCGTTACACCCAACACTTATTACAACTGATTACCATGAATAAATAATGAGCTGTGAGGTGCAAACGTACAGAGGCATTGTTAACATCTGGCCAGCTGTTCAGTGTATAATTTTGGAGTTTGTGAAGTTATTAAATTGGAAATGTCTAATCCATGTAAATTACCCATGTTAATGCCAGAACATGGCTTTAAAAACCAACAACTGACTGATTCTGTCATTTTTAGGTGGACCGTAGGCCACGATCAGGTCATTTGGAATGAAATGGGAAAAAATGAATTCCATTTTATAGACTTGCGAAGATATGTGGACAACTGAAGAGGATTGTACGATAGCAGAGTTAGTGATGTGCGGGTTAAAACATATTGTGATCAATCACACTAAATTACAGTTGACCCAATTAATGGTAGTCGTGGTAATACAGTTTATTACACGATCCTTTGTTTTTACAAGACTTTAAAAGAGACCAAAACACTATTCAAAGATCTCTAATGAGAACACATTTGAATGTGGAAAATTCACTAAAACAACTATTTTATCTTCAATCTTACAAAACAATCATGAGATAAGATTATAATACACACTTTCCCATTAGAATGTAAAGGGACTGTAGTCTATGCTTGACCTGAGCGTCAATGACGTCGTACCATGGACAACTGTAAAGAAATATCCAAATCAAAGATCCTGAACTTAATGCGTGTTTTGTGCTAAAAACTTCAGCATCGGCTATCACGCACAGTACGGTGATTTGTATGAGTAGAAGAACTCCAGACGGGTGCTTTGGAAGCCATTAGCAGGTCGAAGAGACTAAATAGAGACTACAGAGCCTCCAATGCCAGAAACATGGAAGACTTCAAAAGGAAAACGGATAGAATCAAAGGATATGAATTGTTCAGAGCAGGATCATTTGAAAATGGCACAAAAGGTTTTCAGTGTTACCAGTGTTATTATACTGAAGATAAACGCCACAACTGGAAAGTGTTTATACTGTACTGTAAGAGATTTGAATCAACAGGAAAAAAATCTCCATGTCGTGATTCAGTTATATTTGGTTTGAGAGGAAATACCATAGACAAAAATATAGGGTACCT